TGTTAACATTTCGTTGTTGTAAATATTTTGGACTTTATTTTTAATTTCAATTTCATTTCATTTAAAAACGAATGAAAAGACATGGAAAGAACATATAAAATATTTCATATTTTCATAAACAAATATAAAACAACATATCACCCAAGATCAACAAATGGTCGTGTGAGTCTTCTCGGGGGATCCGGTGGGACCAAAGTATGCCATATTTGCATTCTGGGTTCAAGAAGTACTTCCCGACCAATAACACTACTATCACGGTCGTGATGCCAAATGGGGTGAATATGTGGAATTGGAAAATCACCATGCCGATTGAATCGAATGAAGTGCTAGTAGGGCTCAAGGTGGCAAATGATGATCTAGAAATCTGGTCTTGTTGCCCCGCCCCGTGCGATAAGTGGTAGCACTGTCCAACATGTGCCGTTTAGATTTTCAGTGTTGTTTGTCCTGAAGTAGTACACAACAGTATTGAAATATGTAAGAGTGGGATAAAAGTCCTCTGTCGATATCCAGTGACCTTCGCTTATACCAGTCCACCATATACACTCTAGGCTCTGAGGTAATTTATCCCATCTACAAAGACGATTAAAGGAAAGTTTTAATTTTAATCACATTGATCCAAGTGTATTAAATAAGACCTCAAAATAAAACTTCTCATACCCGTAAAGGTTCTCGTAAAGCCCAGGATTTTTTATAAACTCATCGAACACTATCTGTCTGCACAAAACATGATTATCCTCCCCTCCCAACATGCAACTCGCAATGACGCGAAAACCACAATTGCCGTTAGGATGGATATTAAGATATGATTGAACATAGTTGTGGAGTAGCCACAGAATCTTAATCTTATGCCTAAACGTGAAAAATTCTTTCTGCATCATATCTGTTACCAAGTAAAATATTTTCATTATCTCCTTAAGAAATATAAGAATTTAATGATAAAAATATTTTGCACTTTTAAAAATATAAATATAAATCGTACCTCCGACATGAGCTTCAGCTCCCGAGGTATGACCTCTTTTGGAATTGCTGGTGTTCATCCCACCTAACCTAGTCCATGTACCTGTGCTCGCACGCCATGAAACAAAAGTATAAGAATTAAATGATAATAATATTTTGCAATTAAAAAAATAAATTTATATCGGACCTCCGGTAGGATCTTCAGCTCCCGGCGTATGGCCTCTACTGGAACTATTGGTGTTCGTCCCACTTTGACCCGATGTACCTTTACTGGTATCTGCTTTACTATAACTGTTGATGTTCGTCTCACCCTGACTGTCGTCCCTGTATGCCCACACATTTGATTTGTCTTGCTCTCTTTTTAAGATGCATGCTTTCTTCGGCCTGCCCTTGCCTCTCCTTCCAACCCGCGGTTGTTTCGATCCGGCTTGGCCCGGGTGAAGTTTGTTGTACATAAATCTAGTGATCGCGCGCAGTATTGGCTCCTCAGCAGCATCCAATTCTTTCACTAACTGCCTGAACAACAATCTGTGAGGGGAAACATCATCCGAACTATCCTTCTTTGCAACCCGATCGATATCGAGTACGCTCCAAAATTGGTGTAAGTATTTTAGAGTCAAAACCTCGTTGTCCTCCATTACCCGCATCAGAATACATGCACAAGGGATTGAATGTGTTCGCTTCAGGTAGTGATTGCATTCCAAAACACATCATCCCCGAGTTGCTGTGCCCTTTCAAACTCATTGTTCAACAGATTCAGGCAGTAGTGTGAAAAGTTCCATCTCAATTGGTAGAAAGGGTACTTGTTGTGTTGCCTCCATATTTTTTGCCTTGATTCTTGCAATTTCTCCCTGTGAAGGAATGAAAAAAAAAATTACTTAAACAAACTAAACATACAATAACTATTATAACCATATTTTAGAATGTAACGTCGAAATCCAGTACCTTATTTGTGTAAGCTGTGTCTTGAGTAACATGTGAACCATGGGCCAGACCGTTTCAAAAGATACATTTGGTGTGCCGAGCCATTCCTTTAACAACTGCTGTACGCTCTCCACTCTACAAGTAGTGGTGTTGCCAAGATGAAAATAAATATTGGTCCATGCCTGCACAAACTTGTCCGCCACCACTAACCATGTCTTCCTGACATACTCTAGAACGGGTTGAAATTGGACCCATTATGCTCCAAAAGCTTTACTTTTTCTTCGTAATCTTCCCGATTTGCAGTTTTAATCACTGTATTAAAGGCCTTGTACGCGAAACTTTTTGCTACGTTTGTATTTCCATTCAAAATTCTTTTCACATTTTTTTCAACATTCCTGTAAACGTGCCACATACACAACAAGTGATGTGATGATGGGAATGCATCATCAAGAGGCCTCATCAGTCCAGGCTCCCGATCAGTCACGATGACACTCGGAGATCATCACCGTACAAGTTACGGAGCTGCCATAGCGCCTAATGGTAGCTGTCACATGTTTCATCACTTAGAAGAGCATATGCTATAACAAAGGTCTGATTGCACGGGGTCATTCCAACAAACTCCACAAGAGGCATCTTATATTTGTTTGTGTTGTATGTGGAGTCTACCCAAACAACCCAAGGATACGTGCACAACAACAACAAAGAATTCTGATGAGCAAAAAATACGTGGGATAACCTCTGTGTCTCGTCATCGCACTCCGTGAAGATGATGTATTTGTGTTGTTCTGCGACCTCTAACAACTTTACCGTGACGTTCATGGAAGCCATGTCATCCAGAATTGAAAACCCCTCCTTACGCAATTGATTTCTGTAGTTGTAGATTTGTTTGGAGGTAACATTTTTATCAGGAAATTGTGTCCATATCGTTCGTAAAATATGGATTGCCTTAGTTCCAGCTTTAGAGTACTCCTGAATAAGCTCTTTCACTTCTGCGCTCAGTGCCCTCCTAACCCGAGGCAGATCTTTCAATGAATGGTTGTGCATTCCGCACGGACCGGGATATACACGGATCGCCCACCTATCATATATTTTGTAGACAATTATCCGAAACTGGCATCCGATTATCTGTGTCTTTGTATTGGGTTGGGCGCGCATGTTTTCATCCACCTGTTGACCTTGGTACCTGTCTCTTTTATGACAAAGGAGTATAGTATTATTATCCTTGTGCGAGGATATACTTAACTCCATGTTATACATATTTACAATATCCTTTGCATCTGCAATAGCTTCAGGCTTCGTACCAAAAGTCTCATTTGTAGCAAAAGCCGAACTATAATCATGTCCATCCCTCTGATCAAACCTATCCTGCACACATTAAAAATGAATTATATCATAACTTAAATTAACTATAATAATATTACACCACAAATAATTCATTATAAACAAAAACATAATATATAATCCAATATTATGATGTTATACTTTAAAGATAATTAATTAACATAATATATACTTATAAAAATCTAAATGTATTATTAACAAAAACTCACCATTTTAATATAACAATTATAACTTATGAACATACTACCTAATTAACAAATTCTTTCCAAACTAACAACAAACTAAACACATATTTAACAAGAAAAAAAACTATTTCATACGAACATACTACGTAATTAACATAATTTAAACATATAACAAACTAAACATATGATTAACCAAAAATTTACCTATTTAATAAAACAACTATAACTTATGAACATAATACATAATTAAAAAATATTCTCTAAATATTTAAGTTAAACATTATTTATTTACCAATACCATAAACCCTAAATATTAAGATAGATTATCTATTTAACTACCAATTAACATGAATTTTCTAAATAAATATTAAACTACCAAACAAATACTCAAATAAAATACATAAATTAATTAAATAAATACATAAAATAAATAAATTTATTACTAATAATTTAAATAAATAAATGATATTAATTAAATACATCAAAAAATAAAATAAATAATTAAATTAAAAATAAAATGAGTGGTCGCCTCCCTGTAAAGAGAGGCGAGATTATTCCACGTCACCTCTATGCGGGTTGGCGTGTTTCTCCTGTGCCGGCTGGCGCATATTTCTCTCGCCCCCCTCTTTTTTTTTTTTTGAAAAAAAGACATACTTCCATTCTGCAGAGGGTATATCCGTCTTTCAAAGAGTGCTCAAATGAAAAAATTAGGGCGCTCAGCAACACAAAAAAAAAAAAATCGATTCGGGAAAGCGGGGGAAAGGAGTAATCAGGAATCAACTCGGTGTCGACTCCGTGATGTATAATTAGGGAATAAAATAATGTTTAATTATTTAATACATTTAAAATTAAAAAAAATTATGAATTTGATGTATCTTGTAATCTTCTTCATCTTTCGATCTTCATTGCCTTGTGGAATCAATAATGTGTGTACTTGCAGCTCCTTTTTTACAGCTTATCTTTTAAGAACACCAATTGATATAATGCTATTTTCTCTAGTCCTATTTTTATTTTATTAATAAAAAATATAAATAAGATTGAATATGATTATTTTCTCCTCTTTAAAAGAAAAAAAATTATAACAACTCTTTTTTCTAAAAGGTGTTCAAAGGTTTTAGGTAATTTTGGTTTTGTCAATTTTCGGTAAAACGATTAACTAATCGATAACATGCTTTCTGGTTAAATAAATAGACTATTAAGCAAAAAAAAAAAAAGGGGCTTGATTGTTTTTATTGTAGGGTGAGAGTTAAAAAAAATATTAAAAAATTTGGGTAAACATCCATTATATTTTGTCCCAAAAATATAAAAAATAATTTCAGTTAATCGAAAAAAATCGGTAATTAAACAAAAAATTAATAAACCAAAATTGTAAAAATCGGTTTTACAATTTGAGGTGACTTTAAAAGAATGCAACACACAATGTAAATTATTTTTATAAGACATGAGGGAGTAAGTCTCAATAAAAGAAGGAAAATCAATGTCGTGAAATAAAAGGCCTCATTTGCAAAAGTGGAGAAACATGCAGCGGCGAGTGAACAAAACTCCCTAGCGCAGCACGTAACAGAAAAACTACAATGCCATTCGCAGCGTGCAGCATAAAGGTTACGCCCCATCGGCGCACCTTAGCCACCAGAGTACAGCATCGAAAACCCCGAAAGAAATTACTAAAAAATCCAGGAAAAGCGAAAACAAAAGAAAAAGTTGAGGTAAATAATAAATAGCAGTAAATTCACAGAAGCGCGCCAGTAGCCTTTTCCGGCGAAAAGAATATCGGAGAGCGGGGGGAGAGAGAAAATGGGGGTGCATCAGAAGTCGGATTCGGAGGTGACAAGCTGCATAGAAGAAGGGTCATCAACGCCGCCGCGGTCACCCGGCGGGGGGCGGCCACCGCAGCCACTGTACTACGTGCAGAGTCCATCATCACACAACCACCACCACAGCGCCGAGTTGAATGAGAAAATGTCATACGGGTCAAGCCCGTTTGCTTCACCCCCGACCCACCACCACCATTACGATCACTACTATCACTGCTCCCCAATTCACCATTCCCGGGATCAGTCCTCCACTACCTCCCGATTCTCCGCTTCCCTCAAGAACCCCTCCAAACTAGGGGCTTGGCAACTCATTCCAAAGGAACCCAACAACGGCGGCGGCGGCGGCGGCCTGGATGGCGTGGAAGGAGGTGGTGAGGACGACGAGGAGGATGATGAAGGTGAAAAGGCGGCGCAGCTCAAATTCTACGTGGTCTGCTTCTTGTTAGGATTTGTTCTGCTATTCACTCTGTTTTCGTTGATTCTCTGGGGTGCTAGCCTTTCTTACCAGCCCAACATCTTGGTTAAGGTTAGATTAGCAGTTTACAATCAAATATTCCTCAGTTTTTAATTTGTTTTTTTTATCTCATCAAAGTGTGTGATGAATGGAATTGGGTCGATTATTTATGAGTTGCATGCTATATGTCGATATAACAGAAGCTGGTGGGGGTTAAAGTTTTAGTAAGGAAGGTTAAAAGAAGTTTAATAGTAATTAATACTAATTGGTAATACTCCATTTACTAGATGTAATTTTCTTTTTTAGGGTTTAGGGTCAGGAAAAGATTACAAATATTGAAATGATTCATTTGATAATGCATGAATTATAGTGTAATAGTAGGAAGGAACAGTTTGATTTATTTAAAGACTGATTGATTGGATTGGATTATTGGATGGCCAGAAGATGGTGTTTGAGAGAATGAAGGTTCAAGCAGGGATAGACGGAAGTGGGGTGCCAACGGATATGTTGACTTTGAATTCAACGGTGAAGATAGTTTACAGCAATCCCTCCACTTTCTTTGGCCTTCACGTCACTTCCACTCCCCTTCAGCTTCGCTATTTGGACCTGATCCTTGCCTCCGGTCCCGTAAGTGTGTTACTATTACTTACTTCCCCATTAATTTACTTACTCCCTATGAAGCATTTAGAGTTTTTTTTTTTTTTTTTTTCGGTTGGAAAAGGGACGGTCCTAGAGTTAGTAGTTCTTTTTACAATTTTGGTCGTTTAAATTTTGGACAAATTCTACCCCTAATACTACTTGTGAGCATTGTTGAGTGAGTTGGGCAAGATTCCTAGACCTAACAACTCTAATAAGTTGATGGGTCGTCTTAATATTGGCACAAGTGTGTGTGTGTGTGAGGATAGGCACGATAATCCATGGGGGTTGTCTTTTGCAGTGTTGTGTAACGTCCCACCATCATTTCATTTCATCATCTTGGTTACTGTGAACTCAGTTTCCACTTTACACAAGTAAATAGTATTGGATGAGGTTAAAAGCTGCACAGTGCCCAACTGCATGGCCTTCTTTTTGAATAAAAACCCATTTTTTGTACTAGAATAAAATAATACTCTATTAGGGTTATGTTGGGTCGTTTGTAGTCCTCGTTTGATTGTGGGGTAACTTTTGACATGTGTTCAGCTTGGCTGCATTGGGCACCATGATTATGTTGACTCAACGGTTTTTTCTCCCATTTTGTTCCAAAGAAAATCAATTTAATTACTTTATACTCTTTCAAACAAGACAGCATAAGATACCTTTTGGCTTAAGTTTGACACATTCATCACCGACCTGATTACTATCCAATGCTCAAATGTGAATGCAAGCAGATGAAGAAGTTTTATGAGTCGAGAAAGAGTCAACGCATTGTAGCTGTCGTGGTTCAAGGCTACCAAGTTCCGCTCTATGGTGGGGTGCCGGTTCTGAGTAGTGGATCGTTCGCCAGCACTGACAACCTCAACCATAATACCCTTGATCACTCCGCAGTTTCGGTGCCCATGAACCTAACATTCCAGATGAGGTCCCGGGCTTACATTTTGGGTAGGCTGGTGAAGCCCAAATTCTACAAGACTGTCTTGTGTCAAATCACTGTTAGACCCAATCATTTGGGAAGGCCCATTAGCTTCACCAATTCTAACCACTGTGTGTACCGATAGTTGAGTTAGAGCCCCCTTTTCTTAGAGACGCATTTTAGCTATATTTATATAAAATCAGCCTCTCATGTTCTGTCTGGTGTATGTAGGCCTTAGTAGTGAGTGCTTCATATGGTTGGTGCGAATGTGAAGTTCCTTTTCTTTTCTTTTTTTTTTTTAAAGAAAAATTAACAATATTAGCTGTCTTTCCTGCTTAAATTAGATGTTGCAGTGCAGAGAAGTCGTGCTATTCTATTGCGAATGTATATGCTGACTCTACCGTTGACAATGGATGAAAGTTTTTGGGAACAAGTTTTCTGTCCTTCTAATTTCTTACTACATAAGTACCGATGAAGCTCTATTTCTCTCCTAGACACCGGATAGAAGTCATTGTTTTGTCTACTTCTCTGAATCTTGGACTACTTTACCTCGTACTTCAATAACACGAGAGAAATAAAATGTTGTTTCTTGTTGAAAAATATACCAGGATTTCAGAAAGGAGTAAAATTGTTAGATGAAGAACAGTAGGTAATACTCCCTCCGGTCTTTATTATAAGACATTTTGATTTTTTCTGCGATTTACCAAGTACACATTTTTAATAGATAAAAAGACATTAAAAATATATTTTCACATTCGTTGTGTTCTCTTAATTGTTATAAAATTTTTTTAAAAATTTTTTCGTTGATTAAGAATATGTATTAGGTTAAAACTAAGATAAATTAAAATGCCTTATAATAAGGACCGGAGGGAGTAGTACGTATACATATCGAAAAGCACATGCAATGGCGTCGTACATCAACATAGAGACCAAAAGGGGAAAAAAAAAGTTACACAAATATTCAATCAAACACGAGAAGTTGAAGAAGAAGAAGATAGTTAAGGGCAGTCTAGCTAGTTCCAGTCAAACAAGCCAATAATAATAGCCTAAAACTGATCATCATCAGGCAGGCCTTAAAAAAGATGGATTAATATTATTAGTTCTCCTTCTCCTTTGTAACTACTGGATGATGATCTTCATTCTTGTGATGTCCTCCTCCAGGCAGCTTCTCCTTTATTTTTTCCAAGATGCCCTTCTTTTCTTTCGTCTCTCCTCCAGGAGGAGATGAATCCTCGTGGTGAGGATGATGATTCAGTAACGTCGTTTCGGCAGTTAGCCCTCCTTCTGCTTCTGCAGCAGGTTTCTCGTGGTGGTGGCCGCCAGGAAGTTTGTCAATAAGTTTATCGAGAAACCCTTTCTCTTGATCTCCATTTTGTGGGGCGATGTTTGTTGTGTCGTGGTGGTGATGATCTTCGCGCGACATTTTCTCCCTAATCTTGTCTTTTAAGCCTTTCTTCTTCCTCTTTTTCCCCTGATCTCCTCCTTCCTCCACTTCCTCATCCGAACCCTGATCCACGTACGAGAGAGATATGTTAAGAGTAATTAATTAGTAGAGTTCATTCAGCGACGACACAGATTGAAATGAATACTGTTACGATCGATCGATTCCTTACAGTACTTTGGATAATGCATTTCTTCATGTTTAAATATTCCAACACGGATAGGTTGTTATTACTACATTAAATTTATCAAACTACTAGAACGTACGTACCGAGCTGGAATTGGAGTTGGTGGATTGAGTGCGCTGGAGCTCTTCCAAGAGAGTGTGCTTCTCCCTGGGCGGCTCCATATCCTGTTGGAGGTGGTGTTTGTCCTGAACCTGATCATGAGGATGGAGGTCAACCATGGAAACATCACTGTCCGATTTCTGAAGTTCATTATTATTTGCCTTGGGATTTTGTTTCTCCATGATTTGGGAAGACAAATCAAGAAAGCTAATTGAGGTTTTGAAGTTAAGTAGTTTGTGACTTTGTATAGTCTCGTAAAAGCAAAAGAGAGTTGGAAAAAATGTGATGGGATGGTGCAACTTTCGCACCGAAGAGATGGGCAGTTTATATAGAGTCAGAAGAAGATATAGAAAGAAAAAACAATCACTCCGATGGCTATGTACAGAAAGACAAGAAGCTACTACTACTACTACCTAGCTAGTAGCATGGGGATGTGGAGATGAAAGATTCTTTTGTACGGAAATGAGAGAAAGACACACATCAAACCAAGAAATGGTCGGTGGTGGACGGCTTTGTGTTAAGCGCGCTTTCCAGTTTACTCTTTGCCGGGGGGAGGGTGAAGAGCGTTTTGCTTTTTCTTCTTTGTGTTTGTGTGTGTGTGTGTGTGAGAGAGAGAGAGAGAGAGAGAGAGAGAGAGAGAGAGAGAGTGTGTGTTTTTGGAGAGATCGAGACGAGAGACGACTGCCTGCCTGCCTGGATGTTCGCGACCAAACGAGGAGATTATTAGAGTTTTACTCCCGGCATGGAGTGAGAAAGACAAGGTTGGACTGTGTATGCTTTAGTTTAATTTTGTTTTCTAAGCTAAAACTATTTCTGCCGGAGAGAAGAATTTCTAGTATTAAACATTTACCGCTAGCTCTTCGATCCATGTAAATACTTTTCTTTCCAAAGTTTTTGGTCTGATCTCACTTATTGATGACACTTGTCACATACTTTCTTCATTTCAAAATAGACTAATTTAGATTTAAAATATAAGTGTTTTTAAAATTTCAAGTCAAATTACTTATTAATTTTGAAACTTTATTCACATTACAAAATATCAAACCGTTTTCAATTACTACTCTTGTTTATAATTTTGGTTTGTTTACTCAGGGGCATAACATATATTTGCCTCACAAATAAATTGTTAAATGATTATATCTTTAGTTTATGTGCAAAATACAAAATGACTTGTTAAATGATTATATCTTTAGTTTATGTGTAAAAATATAAAATGACTTAAATCTGAGATAGGAAAAATATATGCTTTGCCATCAATCTCCAATTTCGGTGCAGATTTCGTAGCAGGTATTCTATTATTACTACTTTATTATCTAAGCAAGATAGTGATGCATGATAAATTGAATCAATGAGGATTTGTTGGTGATGTTTTAATAAATAAAAAATGGACTAAATAATGTTCAGAGTAAAATATTTGCACTATATATATACTTAATTGTGCCTGTGAGAAAGTTTACATTATATCTCAGATGGTGTTCGATTTTTGAACCTCTAAAAATCCACTTAAAAGTTTATCACGATACGAAGACCTCATTCGCATACGATTAGACTACATTTTATGGAGAAGTCCCTTTATTCTTGCAAGTAAATTAGTCAGTGGGCTAGGCACATAAAATATAGAGCTACCTAGCTTATAAATCAGCGGGGCTTAAAGAAGTTAGCATCGAGTCCATAATCCACCAAATTCCACAAAGCAGCTGCACCTAACATTAAACTCAACCCAATACCCAAACACCCAACCCCCAAATTAATAATAATAATCATCATCCATTTCCACCCATGTGATGATTTCTTACGCTTCTCAATAGCTATCCACATGAAACAAGGATAAGCAAAAGTGAGAGGGAGTGAGATTGCACCAAAAAAGGGCCCTAAACTCCCAATGAATGGCAAGGCCACTGCTATGAAATATGTTAGCCCTCCATAGAAGAGTCGTATGGCGGATCGAACCCATCTCGGGCAGGCCTTGTTCTTCCTGCTCACGTAGATGACTCTTTCCAGGTTGTCGAAAGCCGGTATGGCGTACAGTTGGAACGCACAGATTAAATGGAGCAGGAGTGTTAGGTAAATTGTGGCGAGAATCCACTTGTGTTTGGATGAAGTTTTGTGGTTGTGGGATGACAGTAGTTGGGAGGTCAATGCGTCCAGGATCCCGCCATTTGTGGTAGTTGCTCCCATCTGTGCCAAAATTTGATGATCTTTTAATTAATAGTTGAAATTAAAGTATTTTGTGCATATGTATATGCAAAGCTGTTTCCAAAACAAAACCAAAATGAAAACAAAGAAGAAATTGCAAAGCTGCTAACCGGAGTAGTTCCAAAAGCCAAGTGACCCCCGATTGCCAAGGGGAAGATACACAACCCAACTCCTACAGTTGATGCTGTGACCCCTTTCCACATTCGGTTGCGAGCTGGACGTTGTTGGCTTGTTGGCATCGTTCCCTGCCATTACATTAATTATTCAAAATTTTTAAAAATTAATAATTTGTCAATGTTACAATCATCAATAATCAAACTCCTTATCGGACCATCTATAAAGTAGTAATAATCACCTGTATTTCCAGGATTAGATTGTGGCCTCTGAAAGTAAGAGCAATCATCCCAAGGGCATCAATAATTCCGCGAATACTCTTATACTTTAATATTTCCGGCGATGAGGGGGCGAGCAGGGGCTGATGATTGGTGGTGGTGATGGAAACAATCCACAATGATGAAAAACAGATCACAGCGGAGACTGAACCAACCAACGAGACGGAAGCCAAGGAGTCCAATGTTGGGAAGAATTGGGACACCAAAATGGCTATGCACATGAAAATCAAGAACCATTCAGCTCCGGTTATTGGGGAAGAAGAAGAATCGTGATGATGCTCAGACAAGAGAAGTTGTGAGAGCAATTCCATGATTCCTCCTCCTGTGATTATGAATAGCACACATGTTCCTCCTGACAGATACATTGTCGGAAATACAGCCAGCAGTTTCCCAAGTTTTGGCCCTGCAGCAACCCACACAAACACATATGTTAATTACATCAAATTAAATAGCTAGGACTTGAACTAATCAATTAATAACACTAAAGGATCCGATCAACTTCATATTGTGTCGCTTACGCTGACGGATTGAGACTTGAGAGAATACACAAAAATTGTAATGTTTGCTACAGTGTACGTGCATGTCATAATCAATTAGCCCTTAATTACCTTATGCTTTCTCTCTTTTCTTTTGACTCACTCGGGTTAATGTTGAACCCTCAAATTTTCACCCGTATCGTAAATGATTCACATTATATATAAGAAGAATCGACACAATCATGACTAATATGTTGTACCTCTTCTGTCCGAAATAATTTTTCAATTTTGATTTATGCATTGATTTATGTTTTTGATACAGATTATATTAATTACTATATTATAATTACTAAAAGTGAGAAATCCAACCATGATAATCATTTTAGGATAGAAAAACAAATAGTGTTACAAAGTTCGCATTCTCAATTATTTATTCATTTATTTATTGTTTTAAACGGAGGAACTAGCTAGCTAGAAAGGATTGCTATGCATGAATAAACAGTAAGGATTTGTAAAACTGGGTGAAGAAAAGCTAACCAAATGCGACGATGGAGAGGACTAAAAATCTGCTGTATCGAGGAGATGCTGTCATTTGCTTAGAACAAGGTTGGGGTTGGTGGAGATGTACAAGTATCCAAGTCGTATATAATTGCCACCCAAACATCACCCCTAGACAAACACTCCCCCACACCCTGTAGTAAAGTAACATTAGATTTTAGTTATTAATTCCCGTCACTTTTTTCCACACTAATTTTCAATTTAGAAGAAGACTTAATATTATTGAACTATAGTGATGAAAATTGATAGAGAAATTAATTAATAAACCGACTCTAAATAATAGGTGGAAATTAAGTGGTCAAGTCACGTTGTTTGTGTGTTAATAGTGTGAACTGATATAGTCAACTGTAAAAAATGCATAATGTATGTTGTGTTACACGGTCCATGACGAGGATTGATACTTCCTTGCAATAAACAAAACAAATTTTTAGAAATATATATATGGACGTCAATCCCATATTGACTTGTAGCTTTATTTATTTATTAACTTCTGGTTTCCTTAAAACTTCCGTGTCTCAATGTAAACATCATCAAGCCTTCTTCAAGAAATACATAAGGAGAGTTAGTTAATATTAAGCAACCAATTACAAATGTTTTCTTTTCGTAGATATTTAGCAAGAGATGTACTAAAAAGTAAAAACCGATTAATAATATGAACAGGTGTATGCAGGTGTAGTAATAAAAAATATAGGGCTAAGTATTTATGACTTGGTATGCGCTAGACAGAATGTAACATATTTATGGGGACAAAATTTCGTACAATCATGGGGTCAGAGAAAACCTTTGTAAGGAGTGATTTGGTGAGACGACGTGATAAATAAGTTGATAAGAGAGCACCATATATTTGAAGGTTGGGAAACGAGACCGTAGCTCTATATTATTATTATGTTAGCTACTATTTTGTGTTTAGGGAAAGTTGATTATTAAATAAAAATGTAAGAAATGAATGTGAAACGACTTAATTAATGACTAGTAGTAGCTTGTACGTACGTACCATCCAAGAGAAAGAAAAGCAACGGGAAGTAGAAGGGATTGGAGACCCAATCCGGAGCATAGCAAGTGCATTGCCGCGGTGAATGAGTTCCCTGTCCGGGATTGCGTGATCGGAAGCCAATCGTCAGGCAACGGCTCGGAGCTCCGGCCGGAAGGCGGATCTGCAAAGGATGATGCATCATCATGGATGTTGGGGGTTTGGATGTAGGTATTAGTATCACCCCGGGTTTCTTTATCATCATTATTAAGGATGACATTAATTGGCACTACTCTGGATAATGATCCCACCCCGCTCTCCATTTCCAGGCATACTTCCTGATTATTGTCCTTGCCCATTTATGATAAATCAATGAATTGAGTGTTATAAATGGATGATTTCTTTTGGGGAGCTTGCTAGTTGCTCGGTTGTTGTTGTTTGGTGGAACAGAAGATTAAAGGGGGAAAAAACTGGTCCGAGGGAGCGGAGTACCAATAAACTAGAATTAAGTGGATTCTCTTCTTCTTATTTATAGAGAGAGAAGAGAAGAATAATCAAATAATAAATAAAAAATGAAGATCAGCTTTTGGTAGACATAAGGGCGCCATGGGTGAAAACTATGAAGTGGAAACATATCTTTTCTTTTCAACGTAGTAAATCAGGTAGTAGTATAGTTTTCCTCTAATTCTTTCTCAATCGGTAATTCATGTGTGAAAATTCGAATTCCGTATTCTTGACAAACAATGTGAATTTATTCAGCGAATAATAAAACCAAAAGCAAAACAAACTAATACACGACACAATACATATCTTACTTGTAATCATGTAAAAACTTGTCCAAATATTTGATTTCTTGTCCAAAAATAACGAAACCACAAAAAAAAAAAAAAACAAAAATTTGATAGAAATATTGAAAATAATAAAATGATATTGATGTAACTCCAAAACTAACAACTCTAACAACCATTACATAAATATTATGACGACAGTGGATAGTAAATTAGTACCAAACAAAGGACAATAAATGAGAATTATATCAAATCTTTTCTCCATGAGTATTAAAAGATTTAAATGATATTTTTCCTTTTTATGGATTGTTTCCAAATCTTATTTTTCCATGAGTACAAAAAAATAAATTTGGAATGATTTTATCTCTAAAAAGTAGAGATTTCGACTCATAACATTTAAGAGATGAGATTGGGGCCCTTCTTTGTAGTGTGTGCTGAAATATTCTTCTCTAAATGGACCAACTATATTTATTGATAGTACTTGCAATATATTAATAATTTTGGGTTTGTAATATTCAAGTTTGTCACTTTACTTAGCTCAAATAGTTGTTGTAAGATTATTAATTGTAGTCTTTTAAACGAGTCATTGAATATTTAATATTGAATAATGAACTTTGAGCACGAATATTATTTGGGTCTCTTTAAATTTTCACATTACACATTAGTCATTTAATGCGTCTACCAGCTTACGTCAATGATGACTAAGCATGGATGATGTAATAATACTATCGACAACCAAGTTAGTCAATAAAGTGTCAATCTTAAAAAAATTTTTATGGGGTGAAAACGAAATTAGAAGAACAAAAAGGAAGAAAGAAATTATTAAAAGAGAGAGAGAGAGAGAGAGTACGAAATACCAGAAACGACCAAATTGAAATAGAGAATGGCCTAACAACCGATATGATGTTTCGTGGAAGTTAGTGATCATATATATCACCTCCTTGTTGAGGTTGCATCAAGAGACATGAAGTAATTAAAAGTAGTAGCGCACCATGGAACATAGATGTTGAAAGAACACCATAGTATTGGAGGATCGCAATGGATATCGATTCTCCTTCCTTCACCCCACTACAACATACAGACACAATGTACAAATTGCAAAATTATCAACTATCAACCTTGGAGGAAGAATGGAAGTTGTGGCCTTGTGGGGAGTGAATCTGGCCAAAGTAATAATAATGTGGTTGTTAACTCATGCATGCATATTCACCGCATTCCACATTTGTGGATGCATGTAGCCAAGCCCACTAATGTCACTTCTCCCACAAAACTTCAACCACATCAATGATTGATTTGGAAATCCGTCATTCTTTTCAAATACTAGTAAACACCAAAACCCCCGTAAATACTTAAATAAATGATAAACTATATTGTAATAACAACTCATAAACATTATGTATCAAAAAGTTGGTAGACAAAGGAAGAGTAATTATATCCAGTGTCATTCTGTTCCAATCTAAAGGTCTTGTTTATTCACTTAAAACAAGTCTTATTTTGTGGCCTAAAAGTGCTAGTATTTATAGAGTTAACTATTTATTCAAACAAAGAGAGAGCACGACCGAGGATCGAGACCATTCATTTTAAAGCTAGCTTTTGTGCCAACTACAAAATTAAACAACAATATCTCTGATGTATCTTCTTCTTCTTCTTATTATTATTTTGATTTTATTTTATTTTTTGAATTTGAAGCTCAATAAGCTCGCGAGTTGTGAGTGTGAATCCACTCTCATTATTTTGAATGCTCTTCTCAAAATAAAGCTTTACGTGAACTCTCATTTTCATCAACTTCTTCAACTTTTTGTATATCCTAATTCGAACCCGGTACCCCCGCAAAAGATCTCATCCCACAAAAACATACATCACAAAACATGTTTTCATATCCTACTCCTACCCACTACCACGACTAGGTCCACACTCCACAATACACTACCACTCGTAAACTCCACCATCCAAGAAAATTTTCTGAAACCCAAAATAAAAAGGTAGAAAATCATTGTCTACCTGTTTTTCTTTTTTTTTTACACCCTAATTTATGATACTACTCTTCTTCTTCTATTAAAGAAGAAAATACAGCGGACTTAATTACACTATTATATTAGTGAGGCTTGAAGAAACTGACTTTAATCCCAGTATCAATGACCACATATAACCCAGCAGCAATGAGAAGCCCACTAAGCACCATACCCAAAATACAGAGGAACCAGTTGATCCACCAGGAAATCCCATATTTATTGGGCTTACGAAACTTGATCCACATGTAACAAGGATGCGCAAAGGTGACCGGCAGTGCGATGCCGCCGACCAGCCCAGCCACGCTCCCCAAGAACGGGATTGCCACCGCCACAAAGAAGCAACCGTAGCCGAACATGGCCCGGATGACCGCCCGGAGCCACCAGGGGCAGGGCCGCTTGAACCGCTTGGTGTATTCGGACTCCATGTCATCAAACATGGGCATCCCGTATATCTGGAACGAGCTTACGGCGTTGACTATCACGAAGAAACTCATTAGCCCGAGTATTGATCTTGCCACGTCACGGCTGTGGAATGCGAACAGTGCCGACAGCATTCCTCCGTTGGCCGGAATCTGCCATGCAGTTTCGTTTCATTCACAATGCAATAATTAATTAATTAATCAAATAATTACTAGCACACACACTTGCATTTCTTTTTTGAATTTTTATTTATTATAATACATGTTTATACATATGAACAAATGATCAATAAAAACGAAATGAAACGTACCAAGCGACCATAAGCCCAGTAGCCGCCAATGGCAAGAGGGAATAAGCAGAGGGCCACAATGAGATAGGCCACTTTGACGCCTCTCCACATCGGCACTCTTGACGGATGCTTCTCGTTGGATGGCATCGTTGCCTGTGTGTATATTAAAACAATCCACAGCTTCCCAATTATTCATCACATACTTAATATCCCTTTAATTACATTTTTTCAATAACGCAACATTCTTCCATTTCCATCTATATATGAGCCACAATTTTATATTTGCATTTACTTTTTAATTTGTGCTCTCTGATTAGTAAACGTAAAAGGTAACGAAATTGCGGAATGTAAACTATCTATTATTTTGAACTACGTAGATCATTGAAACTTGAAAGCAAAGCAAAGGCTAAACAGCAGCTTAATAAATTCCGATTTAAAAGGTTTTCTTTTCCTTTTTTTTTTTTTATAAAAAAAATACTATTTTTATAAGTACCCTATATACAGTATGTGAATTGGTAAACGAGGAGGTTGAAGACTCTGAAAAAAAAGGTGCCAACTACCTATATATAGTATGCTTGCTTGAATTTTGATTTTCAATTTTTGGGAGCTAGTAACGATAGTCAAAATACCAGAACTAACCAAATTACGTCAAAAGTCGTTTTCTAAAATGTGTCACATAACATAAAATCTGTTGGAAGAAAAAAAAATATAAGTAAGAAGAACACCACAAGTACGTATGGTGGGTTACCAAGTTTCAACCTTGCCGGCTCTTTTTCCTTAGCTCATTTCACATGTTATTGTGTTCATTAGAAATAAGAATTGCCAAACTTCGCGTCATATATCTTTTTTGGATTTATATGAGAACCGGATATTAAAGAGCCATTTTTTTTGTACACTCCAGCTGGTTCAAACTGAACAGGGAGGCAGTTAACATATAAGAAGAGGGATGAGTATCATTTTGGATTTAACAGAAGAAATACAATGGAGAAATTTACTCCATTATTATGGAGTATTTTTTAAGTTTTTGGAAAGTCTTTCCATTTTACTTATATTTAATTAAAACATCATACTTAGACTCTTTGATTAGTTATTATACTACGTACATGAGAAAATACTAATTATATGATTGATTAATTAAAAAAAAAAACACAACGGATGAGTAAATTTAGTTTTTAGTCATCAGTAACGTAAATGTACGTAGGTAACGTACCTGAATCTCTAAAACGAGATTATGTCCTCGGAAAGCAAAAGCAATAATGCCAAGGGCGTTGAGAGTATCAAAGACCCTGGCAACATCGGAGTGGCCCTTGACGACGTGGTAGGAGACTTTGGGAAGGCGGCCATGAGTGACGGAGACGACCCAGATGAGGGTGCAATACCCCACGGCGGTGATAGCACCGACAAGGGAGACGCCGGCGATGGAATTCAGGTTGGGGAGCTGGGAGAGCACCACAGCGGCGCAGGTAAACACTAAGTACCACTCCACGCTGGTCAACGGCTTGTCCATGCAGCCGCACAGCGTCTGGTAGAAGAGCTTGGAAGTGGAGCCGCCGATGACGATCAAGGCCACACATGTGCCCCCGGAGAGGTACATGATCGGAAACGCCGCCAGCAGTTTTGACAGCTTGTCCCCAAAAGTAGCGTTGGCAAGCTGCATGTATCTGCTGTATCGAATCCCGGTTTCAGTATTTTCGTGGAGTTGGACCAGCAAATACATCGTGTAGAGTTGCCAGATAAATGCTAAGGTCAAGCAGATCACGCCCCAAGTCCTGCAAAGAAAGTAGTTAATTACCTTGTTATAAATCTGTACACGTAGTTATGTTATGTATGTTTCTTTTCTTTTTTTTAATAAATCAAGTCAATTATACTCCATCTATACCAAAATTATGTCTAGTTAAGATTTTCATTTTTAGTTTAATTTGTGCTGAAAGTAGAAATCTAAACTGAACAATATATAATTTTTGGACGGAGGGAATATATAGAATGGTACAAAAGGAGAGAAGCAAGACACATACAATAATTGTTGATTCATTAGGGGTAACGTACGTACCATCCAAGAACAGTGAAGGCAACCGGGAGAACGAGGGCTTGAATTCCGATGCCAGAACAGAGAGTGTGAAATGCAGCATAATAAGCATTCCCATTGCGGGATTGGGTGATAGGGAGCCAAGCATCGTGGGGGTCAAGTTTGGTGAGCTTCAGGGCCTTCCGAATGGGGCTCCCCAATGGAGTGATGAACCGTGGAGTGAAGCCTTTGGTAGGGGTTTTGGAGGCGGTTGGAGTAGCAGTAGCAGTAGCAGTAGCAGTAGTACTCCTCTTGATGATGTCATCGTCGTCTGGGTGGTCGATTGAGGTGAGGAGTGGGGATCGGGACAGCGATGGGGAATGGAATTGGGAGGGAGGAGCTGATACTATCAGTGGCGATGGAGCTTTTGAATTGTTGTTAGTTCCTCCTCCTGCAGGAGCACTTGTCACCCCACCATCATCTCCCACCTCCATTCTCGTGGCCGCTGCTCCAGCTTCCATGTTTTCTCGGCTCATATTCATTAAGTGTTTAACCTAGCTAGCTAGCTTATTATCATGAAATATTGAACCCAAACTCTCTAATCAACCCTAACTTAGGCATCTCATCACACACACACCCTCTCTCTATTTATGTATTGATTTATTAGTAATATTATTATATATGGTGTACTATGATGCATCATGTTAATTTATCATGATGGAGTAGGTGTACATTAAAGTATGGGTTTAGTATGTGTAAGCTGACCAAAAATAGGGGTTTCACAGAGACCGCGCGCACATGTTGACTTAAGCCCCCCGGCGGGAAGACCACATGGCATCACAAACGAGTCTTAGGAAAATGAGGCATTTATTGTTCCCATTCCCATATATCCACATTTTTGCATGCATTATTTGACGTTGTTGGCACCTACTATGGACTAATAAACAAATGAGCTTAATTTACCCAAATTGCAAAGCTCACTTTTCTTGATATCTGGATGGGCTACTTAATTAAATTCTACAAGCAAGCAGCACAAGAATAATGACCCAAATTAAAGAAAGCTGGTGTCTGGTCAATTTGTGGGTAGTTACGGTCTTCCTTCCATTTATATTAATTTAATTATCTTTGACTTTGGCGGTACCTGAAAACGCCACCACTGCAGTAGTTTGAAGCTTGCTTGGAATCCAATTATAGTCTAAACATGATATAATGGGAATTTTCTACTCTGAAAATGTGTTAATTTTAAATATCAAGAAACACGAAAAAGAAAAAAAAAACAAAAAACAAAAAGGCATGCATGTTTATGAAATTTGGGTTAGCTCCCTCAATTTGCCTGCCTGCAGAAAATATGGATCGCCTCTGAGATTCAGAAAACCTTTTATGGCCTCCTCAATTAGCTTGTGTGTTATAAAAATGTCTATCACGTCCTTCTATCATTAGAAGTGAACGATTCTACGTTATTCATGCAACTCCATTTAATGCAATTAAATTTTCTAATAGTTCGTAACAAAAAAATTATACCAAAAAATATTCATATTGTTCACCAATCCTTATGATTCACCGAATTAACTACAAATTGTCCATTCAGGAGAAGTTGATAAAATTACCGAAACATAGAGAGATTCACTAATTTTAACTTCTTACGAATATATATCAAGAAACGCGGATGTTGTGATTGGTCCATAGCCGACTTGTTGACCTGGTCTTAATAATCAAATTAGAGAAGACAATGATGACATTCGAGGAAGACCATCAGGTACCATTTCTTTCTTTTTTATTTCTTTTTTTTTATATATTTATCAACAATTTAGGTGGCAAAATTTCAACCCAAACTAAATTAAAATATTTTAAAGGTAAAAGAAGAGGATGAAATTATGTCTCAACCACGGTAAAGTCTTCACTTTGATCACTGAACTATTTTAATTTTATAAATGATCACTATACTATAATACTATATCTAAATAAAAAAACTAAACTATCTTTTAAATCTCCTCTCAAATCCAAATAAAAAACTAAAACAAAACGTTTTACACACAATCACTACTCTATTTGTTGAATTATGAGAACTTGGATGAGGCGAAAGCGGCGAAACAGTTAGCAGAAGCTCAGACATGGACAAACAGTCAATAACGAGTGTTTGTGACTCGAGCCCGTTAATTAAAGACCGAAACTGAAAAGAGAAAACAAAGCCCAGAAACCCAAAATTCAAGAATAGCCCACCCAACCCAAGAGAAAATATATGTGGTCGATAATGGAAAAAAAGAGATGATTTTCTTTTATCTCCTCCAAACATAATCTTCCAACAGTTCCGAAACTGCCAAAATTTGAAACGATGATGAGGAGGAGGAGTTGGGGGAGCAAAGTGGCAGCTTGAAGAGAATCTTAGTCGCCCCTCACTAACGACGTCGTTTCCCGGGAACAATTGGAGGGAAACTAAGATGGGAAGTTGGTGGTACAGTAGCAGCAGCAGCACTAGTGCGACTACAACTATTCTCCAGAGCTTCTGTTTCGGAGGGAAACATGTTATTCGCCCTTCTTCCTCGTCGTCTTCTTCTTCTTCTTCTCCAAGGTTCATTCCCCTCCGGCTTACTATTGGTATTGTATTCCCTCTTCTTCCCCCTTTCTCTGCTCTTTTGTTCTTTTTTCCCTCTTCCAATTTTCCGATTTTTTTGTTAGGCTTACTGTGTGTACCTTGCATATGGATCTTTATCTCATTTTCTGTTTGATTTAATAGCTGCTCGTTTCAATCTTTCTTACTCCCAATTCCCAAATGCAGAAATTTTATAAATTTCATAGTGATGCTAAGTCAATAAGGTTGGATAAACAATATGCAAATTGTGGTATTGAGAGCATACTGGGTCCTCTATTATCTCTACTAAGCATGTATTCATTCACCTCTTTCTTGTACGAATTCCACCAGTCGGAATCTATTACCTTAATTGCCTTAGAATCTTTTAGATAGTCGGTTAATCCAAAAGTTGATGGGCCGGGTTTAGTACAACCAGACGATTATAGCGATATATATGCGCACTGATCTTTTGAGAACCCATTATTTTCAGGCTGGAGAAATTTCTCAGGCCCTGTTTTGAAACCGCTCCACAGCTCTTTTCCTCGTAATGAAGTTTACGCAGATTCCACAAAAGGCATATCCTCAGCTGCAAGAGGTACATGTTCCTTTGGTTTCTCTCGTGATCCCTGCTCGTCTCTAAAAATGGAAATTTTCTGTTAGTAGTATTTGGTACTTGTAGTTTCTGATGCAGGCAAAAATAAGAATTAGGGTTTAAGAATTATTAGGAAATTTTAATTTAGGTATGTTTTAGTATTTTACAGAATTTTTAAGTCTTTTTAGATACTCCCTCCGTCCCATAATTATTGTCCACTTTGCCAAAAAAATTTTGTCCCAAAATTATTGTCCAATTTGACTTTTTATGGATCAAGTTACACATTTGTCCTTGGTAAAAAACATTATTCATAAAATCTTTATGGTTAAACAATTACTTATGTAGAGGTATATCCGGTTGTTCAAGTAAAATATAGTTAAGTTTGACCAAAAATAAAATCTTTCATTTTAGTAAAATTGGACAAAAATTATGGGACGGAGGGAGTATTTTCCTTCTTTGTTTAACTATAAATAGGGTTGCTGTACGTTTTCAGAGAGGTAGTTTTTTGATATTTGATGATTGATTTCGGAACTGCAAGTTCTTTCACGGCTGAGTGCCTGTGTTATGGTTTTTATTGGTTTTTGTCTAAAAACCTTTGCCTTTGTTCATGGTGATCATGAATCAAAGTGGTGTTCCTTCTTTTCATGCTTCTGCCCGCATCAGTTTCCGAACAGGAATTGGAAAAGAAAATCTTAGTACAAGTAGAGCATTGGTTTATATATTTTTGGAGAGCTTAAATTTGCCATGCTTTTCTTGGTGGATTTTCAATTTTTGGCCTAACCATTCCTTGTCAACTTCAGTGCAGCCCATTGCTGAGGAATTTGTGAATGACCAGGTCATTGATAACCCTACCAGTGGCGATTCCATTCGCCGTCGGTTTCTTGAGTTTTTCACGGCCAGGGGTCACAAGGTTCTTCCAAGTGCTTCTCTCGTTCCAGATGATCCAACGGTCCTGCTGACAATAGCTGGGATGCTTCAGTTCAAGCCTATATTCCTTGGAAAGGCATTGCTTATTCGTTTTCCTTTCTTTTCTTTTTTTTTCCCTGGAATTCAGGAATTCTTTTGTCACACTTGAAACTGCCATCTGGTGCAATGTGTTTTGTTCCTCATATCTAGTAGAGCTAATCATACATGTGGGTGATTAATATCTACAGTAAAGTATACTGAAGTTTTAGTGGTACTCTTTAACATCGTTGATGCGTTCTGTCCAGGTACCCAGAGAAGTTCCTCGAGCTGCAACTTCCCAGAGATGCATCCGCACAAATGATGTTGAGAATGTTGGCCAAACAACTCGTCATCATACCTTTTTTGAGATGCTTGGAAACTTTAGTTTTGGAGATTACTTCAAGAAAGAAGCTATCAAATGGGCATGGGATCTTACCACCATTGAGTAAGTTTACAGGGGTCTTGCGTCAGCGTCTGAACTTATACTTTAAATTTACTGGTATCAGCAAACTCTTTTAAATTATCTTTGAACTACTTGTAGGTTTGGACTGCCAACTGATAGGCTGTGGGTGAGCGTATACGAGGATGATGATGAGGCATTTGCCATATGGCAAGAGGAAGTAAGATAGGAAGATTGTTCACAAGTTGGCTGTTCACATACACTTTTCATGCCATGGTTCTTGAATTTATTTGATTTGTGCTATGATTTTGTTTTTAAAAAGACGATTGTTTTAAGAGTTAAAAGCATTCATGACATTCCATGCATCTGTAATTCAACTGGTAGGGATAAATTGGAGGCTAAGCTGAAATTCTCCTGAGTTTACTTTGTTTTCTTAATTGTTTCAGGTTGGCGTTCCTGCAAAACGTATAATACGGCTCGGGAAGGATGACAACTTTTGGAGCAGTGGAGTAACTGGTCCATGTGGTCCCTGTTCTGAAATCTATTACGATTTTCATCCTGAGAGAGGAGAGTCAAATGTGGTTAGGTCCTATTCTAATTAATTCCCATTGGATCACTATAATTTTCCTCGTTGCTTGATGTTTCAGACTGAGCAAATGAAAATGTTTCTAAACCTTAATTCGTTTCTTTTATTCTTGTCACTTATGTTTCCCTTTTTCTGCTGCAATGATAATTAGGATCTAGGGGATGATACCAGATTCATAGAGTTCTATAATCTTGTTTTCATGGAGTACAACAAGAAGGATGACGGCTCACTGGAGCCTTTAAAGCAAAAGAACATAGATACTGGGCTAGGCCTAGAGCGCATGGCTCGCATTCTTCAGAAGGTATATTGAAAAATCAACTAGTCGGCTGTTACTTATTATTTTGTGTAACCTCACATATATTCACTTTCCGAGCTTTTCAATCTACAGGTTCCAAACAATTATGAAACTGATTTGTTATTCCCCATCATAGAGAAGGCTTCAGAACTGGCTAATGTTTCTTATGCTCTTGCTGATGAGTGCACTCAAAGATACCTCAAGGTTTGTGAAAATATATGTAGTATTCTAGACTTCGTCGCTTCTAGATGGTTTGAAAATTTATTTTTGTGTACAATATGTTTTGTGTTTAGTCAATTTCTATTTTCTTCTCAGATAATTGGAGATCACATGCGTGCAATTGTATATCTTGTATCGGATGGAGTCATCCCATCAAACATAGGCAGAGGCTATGTCGTCCGTAGGCTCATTAGAAGAGCTGTTCGAATGGGTAGGTTACTTGGTATCAAGGGAGATGGCATGGGTGACCCAGAAGGAGCATTTTTACCAATACTTGCTAAAAAGGTAATTGAATTAAGCTCCTTTATTGATTCCGATGTGAAGAACAGGGCTTCCCGTATTTTTGAAGAACTAAGAAGGGAAGAGTTACGCTTTGTTCTGACATTGGAGAGAGGAGAGAAGCTTTTGGAGCAAATGTTGTCAGAGGCCCTGCAAAATGCTCAGGGGAGTGGAACTGCTCCGTGTTTGTCAGGGAAGGATGCATTTCTACTTTATGATACCTATGGGTTTCCCGTTGAAATAACGCAGGAAGTGGCCGATGGGCGCGGCGTAGGTATAGATATGAAGGGTTTTGATATAGAGATGGAGAACCAAAGACGCCAATCTCAGGCAGCACACAATGTCATAAAACTTTCGGTTGAGAATGGTACACTTTCGACAGAAAATGTTCCAGATACTAAATTCATTGGCTATGACACCCTGTTTTCGGATGCTGTGATTGAGGGTCTAATTGTCAATGGCAATCCTGTCGCACAAGTTTCTGAAGGAGATGAGGTAGAAGTATTGCTGGACAGGACCCCTTTCTACGCAGAATCAGGAGGTCAAATTGGAGATAATGGTGTTTTACATGTCTGTGTGGCAGGGAATTCCCAAAAAGCTACCGTAGAGATAAAAGATGTTCAGAAGTCTCTAGGAAACATATTTGTTCATAAAGGTACTGTTAGACAAGGTGTTATAGAGGTTGGCTCCGAAGTTGAAGCCAGAGTGGATGCAAAGCTAAGGCAAAGGGCTAAGGTACTAGCGTATATTGCTTCAAGTAAGCAATCTAGTTGTAATATGGTTCCAATGTAAATGGTTTTAGTTGTACTACTTGATACTAGTTCTCTTTTGTGGCTGCCTCTTGTAGGTTCATCATACAGCAACGCATTTGCTCCAATCAGCACTGAAACAAGTAATAGGGAAGGAAACATCACAAGCCGGTTCCTTGGTTGCATTCGATCGTTTGAGATTTGATTTCAATTTCCACCGACCTCTTCGAGACGATGAACTCATGGAAATCGAGCGTCTCATAAATGGATGGATTGCAGATGCAACACTTCTCGAAACAAAAGTTATGCCTTTGACAGATGCCAAAAAAGCTGGGGCTATTGCTATGTTTGGAGAAAAATATGGTGACGAGGTTGAGGCTTTTAATATATATTAACTTTCACTCAGACAAGATTCAAAATTCCCAAATGCCTCAATAATGTGAATAGAGATGCATTGAAATTACGTGTGTATCTGAAGTGCCTTTTTCCATGACTACAGGTGCGTGTTGTTGAGGTCCCTGGTGTATCACTCGAACTTTGTGGGGGCACCCATGTCAGCAACACTTCGGAAATACGTGGTTTCAAGGTCATCTCAGAACAAGGCATAGCATCTGGAATCAGGCGCATTGAAGCGGTTGCTGGGGATGCTTTCATTGACTATGTCCTTACCAGAGATAACTATATGAAACAGCTTTGCTCCACTCTCAAGGTATATTTATAAGTATCCATTCACTGCTCAACTTGTTCTTTTTCTCTGTAAAGTTTATGTGGACACATGGTTTCATTTGAAACTAAGCACTTTGAAATTTCCTAAAAGGTCAAAGCTGAAGAGGTGACGACAAGAGTGGAGGCTCTTCAGGAAGAATTACGCCTGGCAAGAAACGAAGTCTCTGCAGCACGCTCTAAAGCCGCGATTTACAAAGCTTCGACAATCACTGCCAAAGCATTTACTGTGGGATCTTCGAGAAAGGTCAAAGTTATAGTGGAGCACATGGACGATATCGATGCTGATGCACTGAAGAGCGCAGCCGAGTATCTGGTGGATGCATTGGGTGATCCAGCAGCTGTTTTCCTTGGGTCATGCCCAGGTGAAGGAAAAGTAAGCCTCGCAGCAGCTTTCACGCCCGGGGTAGTTGAACTCGGAGTCCAAGCTGGGAAATTTATCGGGCCTGTGGCTAAGACGTGTGGGGGAGGAGGGGGCGGGCGCCCAAATTTTGCGCAAGCAGGCGGAAGGAAGCCTGAGAAGCTTTTAGAAGCCCTTGAAAAAGCACGGGAAGATCTTAAGGAAATTTTAACCGAAAAGGCTTCCTGAACAAAAATGAAGTTGCAATATGGTAAAGAAAGCTAGAACCAAGGAGACCATAGCCTAGGCTTGTAATTTCGGAATCTGGCGTATAAAAAGAAACAATGGCAGATGATGTATGATAGATTAAGTGCAAATTATGTAAAGAAGGGGCAAGTAACATACGTCCTGTATATACAAAAACCATCAATTGGAATTTGGAATGAATTAAGGAGTTCTTTTAGATTAGGAGGCACTAATCATATGGGATTGAATGGTCCTTTTTTTTTTTTAGGTCTTGCCGCCTAGTGTCTACCATCAAACTGGCGTGCCTTGACGTTTGGGATTTATCTAACTATAATTGAGCTTTAATGCGGGGCCATGGAAATTAGTCTCTCTCTTTCTCTTCTTCCCTTTTTGTATTCCTTTTTTTAAAAATAAAACTCTGGCGCCAAATTAATGTCTCCATGTGGCCGTCAGCGAGAACAAGTTGATGAACTGTAAAACCCTGGTTGATAAATAAACACAGCACATATTCAAGTTTTGTGATTCCTGGGAGAGAAGCGTGATACCGCTTGGAAGAAGTTGAAACTTTCACACATTTACTTTGGGATGTCTGATAACTTGATTTGTCTAGTAAAAAAAACTCTCTTCTTCGTGGTGTTTCTGCTGTGGAGATGTTGTGGTGAACCCTGTGTGCACCACTCCAAAGCTGCTTTCTTCAGCAAAGCAATCGTACTTCAGTGTAAGTACTGTCTATGTACACACATTCCTTCCTTCCTTCCTTGCTATTTTATTTGTTATTATGCAGATATAGGCGTGGGTTTGTTTTCAAAGTAGATGTAGGAGAAATTAAACAAGAAGAAGAAACACATGCAGTACGCCAATGAGATCTGTTCGTTTAACTTCCATTTTGTATTTTAGATTATCATATTTTCCTGACCAAACACACTTTATCTTCACTTCAAAATAGATAAATGTACTACTACTCCTTTTGTAAAACTCATCAATGTTTTAGAAAAACAAAAAGGGGGGCGGAGGGGGAAGAAAGAAGATGAAATAATTGTGAATGTGTGTGAAATGATTTGTGGGCAGCGGGTGCCTGTGGGTATGGTGTCGCGGTGACGTCCTACTACGGTAGCCATCTCGCGGCGGCTGTTCCATCCATCTTCAACGACGGAACCGGTTGTGGCGCCTGTTTTCAGGTTTCCGGCACCCCCTTTTTCTTTTAAGAAAACGAAAATATTATTAAATAAAAATGTCTGTCACATGCAATGGTTGGGTTATTGTTGTTATTTTTTGGGGCCATGCAATGAATACAAGTGTTCCGGCTGGGCCGCCGGGTAGAAAATGTTGTTTAAGGTTTCACAACCTTATTAGATTAGCTTAGATGTGCTTTTTTTTTTTCTTTAGAAAAATTAAAAAAAAAAAAAAAAAAGAAAGAAAAGGACCAAATTATATATAGAGGAAAAACCCCAAATACAATGACGTCGAAATAATTGAAAGATTTAGGAATATTAAGATTAGTAATCTCTTGTAAACTAAAACTATTGAACAAGAGAAGAACGAGAGTTGTTTGTTATTAATAAGGTCAAAAATGTGTGTGGGGGCGGGCACAGATTCGATGCAAGAATAAGAAGCTATGCAGCGAGGGAGGCACGAAGGTGGTGGTGGTGACTGAGCTGGGATTGGGATTGGGAAGCAGCAGCAGCAGTATGAATGTGACCACAGATTTGGTGCTGAGCCGCAGGGCTTTCAGGGCCTTGTCCAAACTAGGCCTGCATCGTCACCTCTTCGGACTCGGCATCGTCGACATCCAATATCACAGGTCTTCCAACTTTTCACTATCACTTGTTTGGTTGAATAGTTAAGTCAACGCATGAATATATAATGTAATTAACTAATAAGCTAGGTAGTGAAAGTGATACATTGATTATAACTATAGTAAGTATTTAACAAAAAAAAAAATTGATGATGGAGCAGAGTAGCATGTGAATACGAGCACCGGAATCTGGGGATTCGGGTGGAAGAAAGCAGCCACAAACCACACCATTATCTCGCCATTACCTTGTTATTCCAAGGTGGTCAGACCCACATCCTGGCTGTCTCTGTCGCTAAGGTAAACCTCTTAATACATTCAAAACCGTCTTTTTTTTTTATCATATATTTTCTCTGTCTTAATATTATTGTTTAATTTGAATCTCTAATTTTAGTTCAATTTATACTAAAAATGAAAATCAAAACTGGACAATATTTTAAGGATAAAAAGAATATGTGTATACATGACCCCATCAAGTTGGGGGTGTTTCAAGAATTAATATTTGTACTAAGACATAGACATTAATTTGATTAGGTTGGAACCGGAGATTGGCGCGACATGACCAGAAACCACGGCGCAGTGTGGCACACGACCCGAGCCCCCGCCGGGGCATTGGAGTTCTTGGTGGTTGTGACTTCGGGATACGATGGCAAGTATTACTACCTCAAGAATGTGATGCCGGGTGAGTGGAAGATTGGGGTGATTTATGATACGGGTTTAAACCTTACTGACATTGCTCCGGAGAACTGTCCCACCATGGGTTAACCCCTTACCTTACCCAACTTTCTTGTACTTGGGTTTCGTGGGAGTTGATTACATTTGAGGTTTATGTTGATTGATGATGATGCCGTAATAGAATATGAACAGTGGATAAAAATGGCAACAATTTTATTTTATTTTATTTTATATCATTTTTGGTGATTAAACATCACAATATATGGATTGTATACGATTATTTCAAAAGCATTTCTTTTGTTCTTGTTCGGTAGAAAAACACACACACACACACACACACATTGACAAAGAGTATTAAAGAAACTTGCCTATAAGTGGAATATATATTAGTACTACTCATCATCATCATAACATAAGTTGGTGCTAGTAAAAATTATTTGATTAATGAGGTATAGGATCCACAGTCCACAAAGTGTTAATGTTGGTTGTATGTGAGCACTCTCTAACTCTCTCTCGCAATCTATTCCTTTTTTGCTTTTAAATGCAACCCTCCACCGAAGCCACCGCCAGCTCCGCCACCGATTCCACTTCCTCCAAACGGCCCAAACAATCCTCCGCCGCCGCCGTACCCGAATCCCCCGCCGAACCCGCTCCCTCCTCCGATTCCAATCCCACCTCCACCACCCATTCCAAATCCTCCACCGCTACCTCCAATGCCGCCACCATAACCCAACCCGAATCCCCATCCCATGCCACCGCCGCTACCGCCTCCTCCGCCGCCACCACCACCACCTCCGCCCCCCAATCCGCTGAACAGTAACTTATTTTCCCTGGTCAAATGATGATGATCGATAGCCGAGATAGGCAACCTGGTGTTGGCGGGATGGAGTAACTTCCGGGATTGGGCAGGCGTGAAGTTGCACGAAACACTGATGCTCACCAGTACCACCACAAGGTAAAAAACATTGTTAGGACAACAACTACTCCTCCTCATCTTCATCTTCTCCCGTTCCACTTTTTCCAACTGATATCTAATAAACGCGAAAAAACAAAAGATTAAGACTGATGAATTAGAGGGATACTTGGTTTGAATCTAATTATATACTAGTTGGTACCAAAAGTTGTAACATCTCCATTGCCTTGGGGATCCTTAAATTTCAGCTTCAATTAATCAGGAGTTAATTTTTATGGGATTGATAATAATTTAATTAATGCAATATTAATTTGCCTTTCCCCTTGCCTCTCTCTCCCTATCTGGATCTCTCTCTATAGGAGCTCCTTATTTTCATTTATTTATTTATTTTGTTGAAAAAGAAAATGTAAGGTTGGGAGGGTTTGGACACACACAAATCAAACATTACAACAAACCCCCCCCCCCCACCCCAACCCTACTTGAAGCTTTTTGTTTGTTTCAATCTAGTTTCATGATTCTATTACAACCAAAATTTTAAGTAGATAAATCACGTCGTCAGTCACATTTTACGTTTCAAACACGTCCAAAATGTGGTCGTTTTCTCGAGGTCCGTGCTATATGGTGCATTATCTAACATTTGCTTATTTGCTTATTTATCAAAATAGTATATTACACGAACAGAGATTATTACATTCTGTTTGCTTATAAGTTCATAAAACATTATTACGGCTATTCCCTCCGTTCCAATCCAATTCAATACGCCCATTTAGAGAAACACGGATATTAAGAAAAAAATTAGGTTAATTGCTAGTTAATATTAGGAGATATTCCGCACGTACAGTTCCGGTTTCCCCCCTGTTTGCAAAATCATCAGCTAACTTAAATTTGACCAGCTTACCCCAGCCGGCGACAAGCGGAGGGTGGTGGTAACTGCTAAACAAACATTTCTTGTATTAGCGCCGCACGAAACTACTACTATCTATACTCTTTACCACTATCCCCACTCACCAGCATGGGCCATTGCTCAGTTGCATATCCTCTTTAGCTAAGACCAAGAGACTCACTGATTATATATCAATGAAAACTGAGAAAAGACATTACCCCCATTCCCATACTCCAAACCCCACCACCAACACAACATGACATATGACTTACAAAATGGGAATCACCAACCTCTCAATATGCACCTATGCATTATCAACATCTAAACATCTATGCTTTGTTTACTACTGTACAATAGAGTCACCACTACAACTATAAACAAAAATACAAGGGTACTATCATACAACCACCTAAATCCCTATTCTCTTCTCCCTGCCAAAAAAAAAAATCATAACCTTCATCCTATTATCACTAATTTATTTAAATATAAATCAATACACCCATCCCCCCAGGGCCTCAAAGTGCCCAGGCTGCTTCCGTGACTTGCGTCACACAAGAGTCCATCTCCCTCTTCCACATATTATTCCTACTCCAAAAATTTGTTTCACCTCCCTACTCATTGCATCTCTTCCAAACTTCGCTCTCTCGCAGGACTTCCCTGAATTCTCCAGGATCCTTTCTTTATTTTCCTGATCCGGCAAGAGTTCCATTGAACATATCCATACCTGACATTTTCCCTCCTTATTAATCAGTCCCAACAGAGGTAAGCCTTATATATCAGAGAGATGCACCCGACACTTGAGTTCTTCCTGCAGGAAGACCCCCACACTTCATCCCTTTTTCACATTTATACTCGTCTGCTATCTTTTTGAGGAGCTGTAGCAGCATTCAGAAAGCACCAGCTGAAAATATATATATATATATATAAATATATATACTTGTATACCATATAAGTGTCAGCAGGCAGCTTTGACCAGCTTTATCCAGTTGATTATAGCAATCACGTCGTCCTCAATTCTTTTCCATTGGCACCCGCTCAAACTTGCTGGGATCAAACTCATAATCAAGTTAATAACAAGGATCCCATGAAGTCACAGAAGCAAGAAGCCAAGAGCAAAATGAAACCAAGCCAGAAGCCATCTTTACCTTTCTGAAATTTTTGAAACAGGCCTAGGAACCTTTTCCCTGTTCTTGAGCCAGATCTTCAATACGTTGCAGCAGCTCCTCGTGTACTTTTAAGCTGTTGGCTGTGAACCTCTCCATGGCCTCAAAAATACGTTGCAGCCTCAACTGAATGCTACCACTTTTGCTTGTGTCACTCTGATACACAACATTCCCGCTCAGCGAGAGGCCGTTATTATCGTCCCCCGAAACCATGATCATCCGTTTCTCCAAAGCTTGCATCTCCTTATGAATCTTCTGATCTTCCCTTTCGAGATTCTTGATTCTCCTTTCCCCATCTTTATTTGCATTAGTCATCATATTCCTCATTCCGAGCTTATCTTGTTCCCAAAGATGAAGAACGCTGGAAGCAAAATCCCGCATACAATCAAGAACTTCTTTCTCGGAAACTCCATCCAATCCTTGAGACCATTGATTACAAATGACGAAGATAGGGGGTGCCCCTATTCTACCAGGTGAGAATGGAGCTATTCCATCATCCGTTTCTTCGGGCACGTATAGAAGAGATTTCATGAGCCATTTATTTAATGCTCTAACATAACCCTTTTGGGCACCGATCCAGCATGAGAAAGCCACTGTCCAGTTAATAACATCATGTTGAAGCTGAGATGTGGCCTCAACATGAGCCTCACTAAAGTGCTTAGCAGATGCAATGGCATCCAAGTTTTTGGCTTCTCCAATTGCTTGGCATTGATTGATATGGCATTCGAGCATGGACCTCCACATTCGGGCCAACCTGACAAAAAGGAAAAAATAAGTTTCAAGGAAATGCGTATGTAACTTGCACCATGTTGACATTGAGTTACTCCCTCAACTCACCAATCACTCTCTCTCATATCCAGAATAATAAAAGATAAGACCCTGATGCCATGGAAAAACATCACATATCCATACTAAATCTTAAAATAAAAATTAAAAAAGAAAATCGAATATTAAATGGAATGAGTTATCCATACTCTTGGCTTGAGTTACGTCTAGTACGAGAGATGTATCCAGAAGGGGTAAGAGTTACAGACTAAATTTTAAACGGTGAATGAAATTGCTGCATACCCTTGGATTAGTTCACGTAGCTGTGGCCACAATTCTTCATCTCTCACTCTATTAATCTTCACTGAGATCTTATCAACAACTTGGATCGCGATCCTAATCTTTGTGGACAATGATTTGACCAAAGCTCTTGTTGCATCAACCTTATGGGCCTCGGCTCCCGTTTCATCAAGACGTTTCAGTTTCCGACACTTCCGCTCATGAAGAATCCTCATCTTTTCTTCAACCTGAGCAAGGCAATCATCAATCTATCAGAACTACAGTTTTAATGTGCCATTCAAGAAAGAAAACACGGCATACATCACATGATCATTTTGGCCTATCGCCTATCACATGTTTATACATGGAAGGCAGTAAGCCAACAGAAAGAAAAGCCAACTTCTCCAACAATGATCAACAATTAGAAAGACTGAACACTACAGTACAAAACCACTAAATATATCTGCTATCTAGTAATGATAATGAAGTATTTTCAACTGTCTAACAGAAAAGAAGATAATAAAGAAGCTGAATCAATCATAGCAACACAGGAACATGGCCGACCGTAAACCATTTTTATTAACACTAAAAAAGAAGAAAATCAGCATACCTTAACTTCTTCGTAGAGTTTCTTTTCCCAAAGATACAACTTGTGCAGGGTGGAAGAAAGCTTGATTGACCTCAAGTTCAGGTCCTCTTCCACATCGACGTCTAATAGAGCTGGACCAACCTTTTCAATGTCATCCCTCTTAGAGGTAGAAGGTCCAGAGGATACAACCGAGAGGGAAGGAGTAATTGCGTGTAACATCTTGGAAGAAACTGTTCAACAAACACCAAAACAGAAAAATGGCCCCCGCAAGAAAATGTTACTTTTAAGAGAACCTCAAAGCAAAATCACAACACTTAGTTAGAAAATACAAATTTCTACAGGGAGTCTAACTGAATCAACAAGAATGTCTCCCGCATAACCACAGCTTGAGCCTATGAATGCATTTTTACAGGTTTATTGACAAAATATAAACAATCTTTGACCCAAAGAAACCATTAGCGAGTTTCATCTAACCAAGAACTATCAGAACAAAACAACATTTGAGGCTTAAAAAACCAATTTCACAGCATGCTCATGATTATAGGGAGGTTAACACCCTCATTTGAGCCAAAGAAAGCACCTCATTCAGTAAACTTGAGTTGACTAAAGAACAGGGAATAGATAAAAATGTTACCTTTATTAGCAGCATGATGTTTCCGATTCTTATTATAGGGAAGCTTCCCAACCTCCAGAATGTTAGCAAGATCATTCCCACACTCAGAAGCCCTCTCAAATTGGAACTGAATTTCTCTAATAACCTCAGAATCTCCTCCCTTAAACCCGGTGGACTTCCGCTTAGGTTCAACATCATCATGAACAACTTTTTTGTCCACCATGTGCACCTCATACTCAGCTGCAGCATCACTCTCTACAGCCCTATTTCTATACAAAGCATCCCCCTTTTCTTCCTCCTCCTCCTCCTCATCATCATCTTCGTCATCTTCCAACTCATGGGACATAGAAGCAGCCGCTTTACCCCCACCGCCGGGGACGGCCACAAACTTCTGATCTCCGTGAATTTCTTTCACAACCTCTTGCTGATAATCTTCTTCCTCTAAATCAGGAATGCCTTCTTCTTCTCTGACTTCCCTGGAATCCCTGCTGCTCGGAGCCGTGTAAGGGGGATAGTACTTTTCGAAACTCTCAAAGGGGTTCAGAAACTCCCAAGCTGATGCCCTCGGAGGAGAAGGAGGCGGCGGAGGTTCTTTCGGCCCGGAAGAGGAAGGTCCAGGTCCAATTGGAGGCGGCCCGGAAGAGGATGATGAGCCCGGATAAGGATAGGGATAACCGCCACCGACGCCAGGCCCAGCCGCCCCGTAATTATTTGTGAAATTGAAGAAGTTGTGATTTTGATAAGGAGGGTAAGGATAATAGGAGGAAGAAGGAGGGTAAGGAGAAGCTTCTCCGGCCATACCCATCCGTACAATCTCCGGGCTGACGGGTTTTTGCTGGTAGGAAACGGAGGGCGTCGTATGTTTCCTCATGAAATTCATGTGCATATAAGTACCCGTTCCGGTTGGGTAGGAGGAGGAACCCGGGAAGCCCATCCCGAAGCTGCCGGAATCTGGAAAACCCAAGTAACCGTACTGTGGAATGGTAGGGGAAGGGGGACCGCCGTCGGAGAAGTGGTCATGGCCATCGTGGCGGTGGAAAGAGCTGGAAGCTGAATCATCATCGCCGTGGACGTGATTGTGGTCGACGTCGTCATCGGAGTCGGAGTCGGAATGGAAGTGTAGATGAGAACCGGAGTGAGAGCGGGAGTGATGGTGGACGACGGCGGATTTAGGAGCAGCCGAAGAGGCAGCAGCGATTTTATCACTAGAAGCTGGGTCGCCGGTGGAGGAAGAAGAGGGTTCGCCTTTGCGGGGCCCAGGAATATTAAGAACCGGTGAAGGCGGCTCGGCGGCGGAGAGATCCCGGTCGAAGAACCGATTAAGAGAAGCGCCGACGGTTTTTAGAGAATGAGTATAAGCAAGATGGGACTGAGCCATGACGTAGCGTAAACGTATGGCTTCATCCAAAAAAGCACACCGGTCCCGGCATAAAGCCACCGCCGGTAAGTCATCGAGCTTTGAGCTGCCGCAGCCCATTTTCTCGATTAATTAATAAAGACCGGGTCTTTTTCTAAAAATTAACCCCCAAAAAAAGGGAAAAAAAAAACGCTTGTAACTAATTTAAGAGTTTTCCAGCCTTCCAGGTTGAAATTAAGAGATTTCTAAGAAATTTGGGGGTGAAATGAAGAAATGTAAAGATATTGAGCATGGCGGTGGAAGAAGCAAAGAAAGAAACGATAAGGGAAAAGAAGGAAAAGAAGACCGGAGGCGAGAGAGGCCAAAAAAAAAAAAAAAAAGGAAAGAAAGAAAGAATCTTTTTAATTTTGCCAGCAGGGAAATTCTCGTCGGTATGTAGCCAAAGCTTTTTAGCTAGTAGTACTACGAGAGTGTGGAGCTGCAGCGAGTGAATGTGTGAGTGTGTGAGAGAGAAAGTTGTGGTGTGTAGAGAGAGATTAATGGTCGGTGGTTGTCTCTCATCTGTGTGTGTGACTGTGTGTCAGCAATAATAATATTATTATTACTAATAGTATTATTACCAGAACTCCGTATTTACTAGGAAATTACTATAATTAGTAGTAATAATATTTATTAGTATTATAAGCAGAGGGTAGAGTAGTAATTTGCACAGGTCAATTAGGTATGACTGTTTTTTGAAGTGTGAGAGGTGACACCGTGACAGGTAGTTTTAGAGAATGTGCAAGAAAAGTGAAAGACATGATGACTTTAACTACATTTCTTTGACTGTTTCACTGTTACTGTATTGGTTAATGACCTAATGGGCAACCTTGGTCTTTTTGATAAGAACGCTAGGGACTATATAATATAAGAAAATAATATGTATAGTGAAAAGTATAATAAAAAAAAATAATGTGTATTTCCTATTTTGTTATTATTTTGTCGTGTATAAATAAGAACAAACAACCACAAAAAAAAAATAAAAGATTTGATTACAGTAACTTATAGTTAGGCAATTACAATATGTCTTTTACTTTATACCTAAAATAAATAATTTAATATTTTGTACACAAGTTTTAGTGGTGGTGGATATTTAGAGAAAATGTAGGAAAATAATGATAATATTCATGTAATTATTTCGAGATAGATGATAATACGCGAGAGATTATGCTAAGTTTTTTTTTTATATAGTTTTCAGGTTCTTATTATAAGGTTTTCCTTTAGTCCTATTTACAATCATTTGATGTTTTAAGTTTCATTTATAGTGCAATTCCAAATTTATACCTAATCTAAAAATTAACTAAATGTTAATTTAGTTAGTTTCTAAAAGAGTAAGGACATTTTTAATACGAATAATATAGATAATCCATCAAAAGAATAAGTAACTAAATTACTTTCATTAATCCTTTCAAGTTAGTTATTTATGTACTATCTCAAGTTCAGTTTCAAGTTTTGGTTATGTTAAACTATAAGTCCACTTTGTATCTCAATGCATAATTTTGTTTATTTTACTTAAATTAGCATTGTTTCTGTAATGGGATTTGAGTTATTATTAATTGAGGTTAAAGTGAATCTTTTATTTTTGTTAATTATTAACTTTTAATATTTGTAGCATTTAAAGTGGCCTCACATTGTGATAAGGAAATCGTATTATCTCAAGAATAAAAAAGTATTAGTTACTAGAGAAAACCCAACTGAGTTATGTAGGTTGTAATTTTACACTAGAAAGAATATTCACATGATATAGTACTACTAACTTCCAAAATGAACAAGTTATATTTATGTGGTTGAATCATATAATGTGCAACTGTTACTTTCTGACATCTGTGTTCATATCCTACGGTGTACGAGCTGCTACCATCCTAATCTCTGATGAAACCCACATATGGTCTTAATTTTGAAGAGATGGCATTTAAAAATTGATGGTTTTTGGAAGACCCATTACTAAAGTTAATGGAGAGATGCTAGAATCAAAGGTTTGTCCAAATTAAGGTACATTTTTTAATACACAATACTACCCTTTTTAAGTTTATAAGTGTACTCCCCAAACTATGCACAACACAATGGCTTATTTGTTGTGGGTTGGGTGGGCTTTCGGTGTATGGGTTGGGGGGCTCTTTTGGGTTACACTTTTCTGCCTTTTTCAGTTTTCATTTGATTGGGGGTCTTCTTGATTTTGTTGTTATTCACACCCACCAAATGGCAAAAACTTCAAAAGTGGAGGGATGACTGATGAGGCATCTTTTTGTGTATGTTTTTTTTCATTTATGGGTAAGAATGCAAGCAAATACTTTTCTTTATTTTCGGTTTTTTTTTTTTTTTACTTTATGACTTTATTAGAAGTGGATGGTGAGTGGCTGATAATCTGTTTCTTTTCTTTTCTTTTTTCCTTTTTAATTGAAAGAAAAATAATAATGTAACAATAAAGTCCAATATGTGGTATTGTTTGATTAATTTGGTAGTAGACTGGTGGTACTAGTGGTGCTAGATGTATTGCTCAACTACAATTGCCATGCACGTGAGGTTAGCTCACTCCCCTTTTATTTTTTTTCTGGATCAAGCCATGCATTTTCAATAGACTTATATAATTAGAAAAAAAATTATCATGACAAAATATTATAGAACTCATTAATTTTTTTTGTCGTCGGTTAAACCTGATTTAACATAATTATTTATGTGGAAAACACCAATAATTGAAAGGAATTTGGTATTGCTTGTTTGCAAAATTTATGTATAAGTGTTTTTTTTTTTTTTTTGAAATGTGAATTTTTTTTAGTTTGAATCGAAAATTAATTTGGGAATCTACTAACTCAGTCTGAACTGAATCATTGTGGTGAGGTGATAGAATTGGTGGGAACTTATAACAAAGTAAATGTAGGCTATTTTCATATTTAAATTTAGGGATACAGTTTTGTAGATTTTTTCCATAAAAATTGGCTAATTTCAACGTGAAATTAAAAATAAAATATCGTAACCTTTTTCTTTTTTTTTTTTTGGCAACAAATGATGTAACTTTTGAGGATTTATTGAAAGCGAAAAAATAACTTATGTGAGAATGGCAGGTATATTTCCTGGGAGTAAAAAAGTGATAATTTATTAAAGATAACACTTCGTCATTAATTATGCATCTTCATCCAAGTTTTTTCTCAAAAAATAATTTAGTTTATTGTTAGAGACATAGATGATGAAAGATGTTAATTATAGTCCAAAACATACCCCTAAGGCCCCAACAAAAAACAAACAAAAAGGTTAAACGCAAAAAGGTAAGAGGTTAAATTACGTATAAATAAATCCAGGTATTTGAAAAGTGATTAAGAAGCAATTAATGTTGGCAAAGATTTTTAGTCGAAACTGTAATATTCTTATTTATAGCAAGGGTACAGTATCTTCCAGCTTCCTGGGTTTGATTTTTCTGGTTTTCTTGTGAAGTGATGGGTTTAGTCCGGGGAGGGGGGGAGCGAAGAAATGGATAATTAGGTCGAAAAAAGTTTGACTCATCATCTTTTCTTCCCATTTTCCATCAACCAAATGCATAACGTCTGAATGTGGGATTCCTTTGTATTCTTCTCTAAACGTTTATTTCCTTTGTATTGTCTTTACCAAATTTGATTAGGCACGTACGTTTGTTCTACGTTTCTTTCAAGCATCCCCCCTCTCTAATGGTGGTGGCCCCTACCAACCGCTTTCAACAATAACAGTAGAGTGTGTAGGATAATAATTTGTTTAGAGAAATTTCATATGGACTGAATTGCAGCAAAGTCCGCAGACCAAGAGAGCATTACCATTGCGGAAGAGATCTGAGCTTAGGGCATCTCCAATCCAAAGCTCCTCTAAACTCTATAGAGTTGAAACAGTAAAATTCTACTACTTTTACAGTTTAAACAGTGTCAGCATCTCCAACTCATTCCCTTTATAAAATCCCTCTAAAAGGAATATTCTCAGTATATTCTATTATTTATTTTTTTTTTGTAAAACTAAATTTTATTATTTGTATTTTATTCTATTCTATTACTAAAATAAATTACATTTAAGAAATTTTATAATTTACGCACATGATTGTTAATTTAAATAATAATTAGTAATATTAATTATTAAATTTAAATTACATAATTTTTATATAATTAATTAATAGTAATTTTTTCACCATATATTATGCCAAATAAATAAAATTACAAATAGTAAAATAACAAAAATATTTGGCTCAATGATAATAATAAAACACCACTACTAATATTACATTTAAATCATTAAAAATACATAACAAATACAAGTCGAAAATATTGCAAACATTAATTTAACAACAACACACACATGAAAATACAAATGCATATTTTGTGAAGAAAAAAAAAACATAACAACACTAATTATTACTATGAGAATATTGTTCCCACATATGCTCAACCAAAGCATCGCGAAGTTCAAAATGTGCCTTCCTGTTTCTGATTTTTCTGTGCCGTGCCAGAAACTGTTTAAAGCGGTCTCCTTCACGAGGCATTAGCGTAACATTTGAAGTAGGAAATTCCACATTATCTCTAATTGGTGCACTGAGATCACGTTCATCTTCGATAATCATGTTGTGCAAAATAATGCATGTTGTCATTATATCATGAAGCACTTCTTTTTGCCATAAACGAACGGGACCTGCGATAATAGCGAATCTCCTTTGCAGAACTCCGAATGCACGTTCAACATCTTTTCTACATGCCTCTTGTCTTGTTTTAAAATATTTTTGCATGGGATTAGTTGGTGCTGCAAATGACTGTACTATAGTAGCCCATTTGGGGTATATACCATCGCCTAAATAATAACCCATATCATACTTGTTTGCCTCGAATAGTGTAATTAGCCGGAGGAGCAATACCTTCGCAAGATTAGACATTAGATGAGATGCTTCTAACACATTAATGTCATTGTTAGTACCGGCATACCGAAATACGCGTGCCATATCCAAAGATCATAATCCGCTATGCCTTCCAAAATAATAGTTGGATGTCCGAACGTCCGCTATATTGGCCAGCCCATCCGCTAGGACATTTATCCCATTGCCGGTGCATACACCCAAGCTACCCAACATACGGAAAATCACGTTGTTCACCAATATGAAGCGGCCTAGCGACATCAAGAAGATTTGGTGCCCTCAGATCGAGAGCCAAAAATTTCTACGATTGCCCGACAAAATTTTTTTAAGCATTCATTTCTTTGTTGACTCGGCAATTTGAAGATATTCATCACCGATCCAGGGACACCATACGCCAATTGGCGCAATGCTGACGTTATCTTTTGATTTGTTGAGAGTCCAGGTGTACCAAGAGCATCATTGAGCTTTTTGAAATACCTATCATGACTTTTTACTACATTAGCAATACGCTCGTAAAGAGTGAGAGACAAACGAAACCTTCGACGAAAAGTGTCCGCATCGTAGGTGGGATTGTTACTCAAGTAATGCTGGTACAAAGTCCGATCCGCACCTTCTCGATCACGATGGACGACTCTATGGCCTGGGACCGAACCCCCCCAGGTAGGTTGGCTACTTTCAGCAGAGATAGCGTGTGACATCATAACATTAGAAATGTTTATGAAATGAGCAATTGGTAGATGGAAATCATTTTCAAATGGAAGAAATTCTGAATATGAATTCTCCTCATCTGAATCATGATCAAAT